CAAGGGATGTGGGCATCACAAGCTAGGCCAGCACTCATTGCTCATCCCTAATTCACAGGAAGGCTTTTGAGAGTGAACTGCATGTGGGTCTGGTTTCACAGGTAGGCAGACCAGGTGAGGATAGCAGATCTCCTTCCATTATTTAGGCAGATGGGATTTTCCGACAATTGACATTAGTTTCATGGTAATCAGTAGTTTCTTAATTCCAGAATATTGTTTCTAAATTACATTCAGTTTCCACTATCTGCCATAGCAGCATTCGAACCAAGGTCTTCAGAACATTAGCTGTGTTTCTGAATTAAAAGTCTAGCGATAATGCCAATAGGCCATTGCTTTCCCTGATGTGCTTGTTTGTGGCAAAATCAGAAGTTTTACCCATCAATTAACTGCCACTGGTAACGTGCTGCAGAACATCTCCCTGAATTGTTGATGTAAGCATGGTGTCCATTCGCAAAAAAACTTTGTTAGGTGCTAGTAAGAATTTCTAATGCTGGAGTCAGAGATAACACAGTGTGGAGCTGGAGGAACACAGTAGGCCAGGCAACATCAGAGGAGCAGGAAAGCTGAATGAGCATTTCTGAAGAAGGGTCCCAACCTGAAATGTCAGCTTTCCTGTTCCTCTGATGCTGCCTAGCCTGCTGTGTTCCTCCAGCTCCACACTGTGCTTTCTTTGTTACATGTTAGTTAGAGGATAAGTCAACATTTGATGTCACTTCAACAAAATTTGATATTTCAGCAATCTGAATGAAAAATTTAATGTCACTTCAACAAAGTTTGATATTTCAGCAATCTGAATGAAAAACCCAAACATTGATAATAGTGCATAAAAACCAATAGAACTGTGGATGCTGTAAATCAGAAACAAAAATAGAGATTGCTGGAAAAGCTCAACAGGTCTGGTAGCATCTGTGAACAGAAATCAGAGTTAACTTTTCGTGTCCAGTGACCGTTCCTCAGTTCTCTTCATTGATAACAAAGCATTTATTTCCATTCCAGGGAAAGCTTAATTCAGGAAAGTTTGTAACTGCATGCGTGAATCTCCATTGATTTCTTAAGGCAAGAGATACCTTCGTGAACTGAATTGAGTCTTTTGAAAGAGTGCTGCTTTAAAAAAAATGGTATGTGGGAAAACAATTTGATAGTTTCATCTGGAGGATCGGTCAAAATAGATATAATCCAAGAGATTATGGCATTTTGGATCCAACAACGAGTTAGTTGGAGGAAGCAATTGATATTTGTCAACGCAGTGTTTTTTCTTGACCTTCAGAGCTTGATGCTAGTTGTGATCTGTTGGGTTCAGCTCCCCATCGCTTGCTTTTTGAAATTGATGTTAATTATATAGATTCAATGTTGGGCAGTGGTGAAAATATTTTCAGCTGTAATAATAGACAATAAAAACTATGGAGTTCACAGTAGGATGGATGTTGCAGGCAAATGTTATAACGTGCCTAGTTACAATGTGTTATGGATCAGACTAGGCCCCTTAAAATATTTTAAGGTAGCATGCACTCTAACCTTGTCTTTTTTTAAGGCAAATGTGAAGTGCCTTGATCTACAGGCACGGCGACTGGTCAAACAATTCGACATCAAGAAAAACACAATTTATTCAAACATCATAGTTAAAATACAAACAAAAGAAAGCAAAATTTAGAATAGTTTAATTTCTTCGGAAACTTAACTGAACAAAAGATACAGTAATTATTACGAATTAACTGCTTTTTTAGTAACATCCCATAAATACACCCTTCAGCAAAAAGGTAAATTCAGAAAAATAGATTTGTCTCACACATAACCCAGCAACAGAGATAAACCACAGCCTCTAAATATGGCCGAGAGAAGGAAAAGATAGCTTCTACTTCTTTAAGCCCACAAGAGCAACAGTTTAAAGATAAAACTGAAAGCTGGAAAAAATACTAGAAACCCTGATCTGAGAGAGTTGGCCACACCCATCCAGGTTGCCTCCATTGTTCCAATTTTTGTTTAAAAAAACAAGGCCTCACAAGTTGTTTACTGTAATGGTTTTGGTAGACTGCTCGGTACCTCTGCCTTACAATATCCCTTCAAAATAACCAGAACAAAATAACCTCTCAAAGCCACAGCATCATCATGTGACAGAAAGGATAAAATGTGCATCATTCTTTAAATTTCACAAAGCATTTTGAAAGGTAAGACAAGTTTGGAAAATTTACGTTATGGATTAGTAGTCAATTGGCAGAGTTTTATTAGTGTGAAACATAACAAATGTTTGAAAGCAGTAGGGAAAATCGATAAAGTAGATAAGAAACCAAACTGCCATGTTTCTAATACTAAGAGAAACATTGAATTACAGAGTGGAGAAGTTATATTAGAACATTGTACAACGTTTGATCAAAAAGAACTTGAGCAGTTCTAGCCATCCGAATGAGAATTTGAGGTTGGCTCATTCGAGGTATTAAAGGGTAATTTAGAAAGAATGTTGAGCAATAAGGAAGACATGTATTGTGGACAACATGTAGAACTGCTGGTTCAGCAGTTGTGATGTGCCAAATTGCCCCTCCATCCCCGCTATGCTCCAAATTACCTTCTGCTTATTATGTTGTCAATTCAAAGTGAAAAACAAACATGATTGCACTAGGAGTGGAAGTCTCTGCAGTTTCAGAGAAACAGGGAATATAACTAGGCAGAAATGTTGAAAATAATTCTGATCAGTTTTACTGGAACTGAGGACCCTGAAGTTTCTGTTAAATTACGTGGAGGCAATTATGAAATATAGTGAATGAAGAAAAGATTGTCAAAATACATGAAAAACGCATCGAAAAAAATGATCATGTACTTAATGATACGTCTCAAACTGCTTGGAAGGTGTTAAGGAAACGTACTGACCCAAAGGGTGGTAGATATCTGGACCTCACTGCCAGAAAGGATGCTGGAGGCAGAAATTATCACAAGATTTAAAAAGTAGTTTCAGGTCATGTTGCTGAATGATACTCTTCAAGGCTATCTGTTTAACAAAGGAAGTTAGGGTGAGGCAATGAAATTTTTTGCCATCAATTCTTTGCCATCCAACACATAAAGGTAAAGTCCAATGGTCTGCATCAATCTCATTAATGTTTTACGATTCCAAGTTTGAGTTTAAACAAATTTTGAATAACTTCCTCATCACATTCAAGTGCTGCTTTGGAAACTGCACATGAAATTGAGTCACAAACGTTGAATGCTTGGAAAAAACTTTGAAGTGAGAAAAGACATAGAAAATGCTCTGGGTGAGGGAATGTAATAGCTGTCATCAGGCATGTCTTTACCGCCATAATTAAGTGATCCACTTAATTTTGAAGGATATAACTCCAAGAGTCAATTGTGGCACATATGTGACTGACATAAACACCAAAAGCTGAGTGCTCCATAAGGGGAAGAGAAGGGGAGATGATAACAACCTTGAATTGGTTTGAAGCAACCTAGCTGTCGCAGTAACATCTATCCATGACAGTAAGTGTAGGAGAGATTATAACTGAGAACATCCTCACTATACTCTTAATATCAACATCAGTTTAATGGTGATAAATTAAGGTAAAAACTGTTAGTTAAACATTGGATGCATACCAATGAGCTTTTTTTTGCCACAGTGTCAGAATTAATTAAACCACAAGTCATATCCTTGTATATTCCTCAGTCTACCATTCTCATCAAGCAAACATTTCATTGGTTATTTCATGCAGAACCGAAGTTTATACCACAGGAACACCAGGCAGTACGTCCTTGCTTATTAATCTTTTTAAAAATGTGGCATGCACGTAATAATGCTAGGTAAATGACTTTTATGCTATAGAATATAGTGCACTTTTTTAAGTTCACACTCTGTAACTTTATAAGACGTTGATGAGATGACATTTAAAGTGCTGCTTACAGTTTTAATCAAGTGTTTATGAAAGAATATGTTAAAATGGGCAGAGAGCTTGTGGCAATCAACTGGAAGGCTGAGAACTTTCTTACAGGCAAAAATAGTTGTATCTTGTTTGTATCATTTTGTCTTTGCTTATCATAGACAGGACCCATTTTCTTATTTTCACACCTTATTTATACCAAATGTTCATCTCTATTCCCACTTCACTATGACTGACATGCCTTTATCTTTTGCTCCGAAAATCTGTTCATGTCCCTCCTTTTCTCCCTTTGTCAACAGTATAAAAAAAAATCAATATTAATTAACCCCTAACAGTTCTGAAAAAAGACTCATATTTGACTCGAATAATTAATTTTGCTTCATTCTTCACAGATGCTGCTGGACATGTTGAGTTTATACATAAAAAAGTCATTTGATTACAGTGGGATCCAATATTTTAAATACAGTCCCTCTCCATCACCATGATAAAGGCAGGAGTGTACCTAAGGCATGCACAGAAAAATATCACCAAGATCATTCAGAAGAAATGTCCAAAATCGCAATTGCTACCCACAAGCAGAATAAAAGTTAGCAGGCTCCATCAGCATAAGAATTTAGGCGGTCCAGTCCAAATTACCGGCCGCATTAACTTGGAAATATACTGTTATTCTTCCCACTACCATCAGCTTAATATTCAATGCATTCAACATATCCTTTAATGGCACTTTGACAGTACGTTCACTGCAAAATCTACAGCGCATACATAGGAAACTTGGACTCACTTTCTGAATAGGCACTTAGGATACTTAGTAAGTAATGGTCTTGTCTGCAAAATTGAAAAAATAATAATAACACAAAACAAAACAGTCCTCAGTAGCGGCTGAATCTTTTCTAATTTGGTCATTCCCACTTAAGAGTGGTAAGTCATTAATGATAATTGGGTATTATATTGGGCAGAGGTAATGAAATCTTTGTCTGGGGCGGGTGTGGTTTCATGCTGCATCAGTCGCTCTTCTAAATTAAAGTTCCATTACCACACAAATGGATTTTGATATATGGACACAGCGCAGGTTCAAGGAAGGGCTTCTTCAATTATTACTGAAAAATGTTTCTAACTGACTTCGTAATGAGAGAAATCATTGGGCATGTTCTTTAATTCATGAATGCTGGGTCCATCAAAGTATTGGATCTTCAGTAAAGGCCAAGTGAGCATAAAGAGTCTGGGGAGTAAATCAAAAATCATTATTATCATTGAAACATAGGAACAGTGAGCAGCAATTCAATAATTGTACCCGATACCCGCTTCATTTGGAAGTTAACTATCTCTATGTCCATGTACCCATTATAATGTCCAATTGACATCAACAAATAAGAAGAAAAGGTGAGTAGTTTCCCAATATCCATCGTCATTTGTGTTTCACCTCTGAACTGCATGAGCTTATTTTAAGGTTTTTGTCCCCTTGGCACACACTGAGAACAGAGCAAATGATTCTCACTTTCAATTCAATGACATGTCTTAAACAAACTAGTCATTTCAGCTAGATCATGCCTTTGTCTTCCTTACATCCTGGAATGATCTAGATATCTTTATTGTCTGTTCGCAAAACACAATTTCTTTTTCATCCAGCCGTCATTGCATAGATTATTCATATTGCAATTATATATAATTGCTGATTAAATGTCCAAATCTCCATTTTCAGTTGCTTTGACTTCTTGCAAAATGATAAACAGTGCCACCTCGCAATGATTACAATTCTATCGCCATAATCGTCTCTCTTAAACATTTCGTAAAACTGGTGTAAGGAAACTACACATTTTGATGGGAAAAAAATCAGTTTTATGCACTTACCTCTTTCTTTGGAACATGTGGTCGAAATTCTGCTGATTTCTCACTGGTGTTCCAGTTGCCTAATGTAAAGAAAATAGTTAACATTTTCTTAAAAAAAAAAATAAGTTATGCTAATTAAGTTCAAGAACGTAAAGAATGGAAGACTGCAACAACACAGAAATAGAGCACGATGAATTTATAGCACCCACGGGCACGTCCTACCTAAGTCACAATTCCTGTAGCAATATCCCGCGAAGACAGTAAATAACACGACAAGGACAAGCATCACCAATATGCTCCCATAAAACATCAAAAGGCAAGGGCTGTTCAATGGCTCTTAAGAGGACAGAGATACTGTTAAAATGCACATTAACCAACTGATGTTCACAGGTAACTCATCAATGCAAAAATAGCTGGCAATTCTGACTTGAATGTGCAACTCACAACTGCACTGAATGAAATTAAATGAGATTGATAAATTCGCACAAAGACAGACTAAGACATGGAGAGAGAAAAGGAAAGAAAGGCATACCTGAAAAGAAATGGTCATAGAGTCATAGAGATGTACAGCATGTAAACAGACTTTTCGGTCCAACTCGTCCACGATATCCTACATTAATCTAGTCCTATTTGCCAGCATGTGGCCCATATCCCTCTAAATTCTTCTTAATCATTTATCCCTCATAATGGCTTTTAAATGTTGCAACTGTATCAGCCTCTATCACTTCATCTGGTAGCTTATTCTATACACCCACAACCCTCTACATGAAAAAGTTGCTCCTTAGTCTATTTTATATCTTTCCCCTCTCACGTTAAATCTTTCCCATCTAGCTTTGGACTCCCCTACCCTGGAGAAATGACCTTGGCTATACAGTCTGTCCATGCTCCTCATGATTTTATAAATTTCTATAAGATCACCTCTATACGTCTGACACTCCAGGCAACATAGCCCTAGCCTGTTCAGCCTCTCCCAATAGCTCAAACTCTCCAACACAGCAACATCTTTGTAAATCTTTTCTGAACCTTTTCAAGTTTCACAACATCTTTCCTATGGCAGCGGGACCAGAACTGAAATCAGTATTTTAAAAGTGGCTTACCCAGCTGCAACATGGCTTCCAACTCTTAAACTCAACGTACAAACTAACAAAGGCAAGCAATGCCTTTTTCACTATTTTATCCACCAGCGACTCTACTTTTAAGGAAATATGAACCTGTGCGCCAAGGTTTCTTTGTCCGCCAACACTCCCCAGGACCTTACCATTAAGTCCATAAGTCCTGGCCTGATTTGCCTGAACAAAACGCAGCACCTCATGTTGATATAGATTAAACTCCACCTGCCACTCCTCAGCCCATCGGCCTTCTGACCAAGGTCCCATTGTACTTTGAGTTAACCTTCTTGGCTGTTGACCAAAACCACCAATTTTAGTATCACCTGCAAACTTACTAATCATGCCTCCTATATTCACATCCAAATCAATTGCCTAAATGAAAGAGAAGCAGTGGACACAGCATTGATCCTTGTGGCATACCGCTGGTCACAGGCCTCCAGTCTGAAAAACAACCCTTCACCACCACCCTCTGTCTCCTACATTTGAGCCAGGTATATTTCCAAATGGCGAGCTCTTCCTGTATTCCATGTGATCTAACTTTGCTAACCAATCTACCATAAGGCCCCTTGTTGAATGCCTTACTGAAGTCCATAAAGACCACATCCACCAATGTGCCTTCATCAATCCTTTTCATCACTTCTTCAAAAATCTCAATCAAGTTAGTGAGATACAACTTCCCCCACACAAAGCCATGTTGACTATCCCTAATCAGTCCCTTTTTTTTTCCAAATACATGTAAATCCTGTCCTTCAGAATCCCCTCCAACAATTTGCCCACCACTGATATCAAGCTCACGGATCTATAGTTCCTAAAATTTTCCATACCACTTTCTTTTTAAATAATGGCACCATGTTAGCTAACTCCAGTCTTCCGGCACCTCACCTGTTGTTTGTTTGTAGAAAAACATAACTTTGCAAATATTATTCTGTTGAGCAGAATATAACATTGTAAAGTTCTCCAAATTTTGCTAGTTTCTTGTTGTATTAATGCAAAATCTAAGCGGCTATTTGGATCTATCTGTATCTGTTTAGCTATCCAAATCAACAGCTACTTTCTCGTGCCTGTCACATAACTTCTCATCCATATTGTCAGTTGTATATTTCTTGCAGCATTCAACAATTTGTGTTTATTCGGAAATGTGAAGATAATGAAGTGTCAGGATATTGAAGTGTAAATCACAAATTTATTGAATTGCATACACGATACATCTCCTTTCAGCATTTAACGAAGTAAGTGTTTTTTTTAGAAATACTTCCTTAAATACTTGCGACACCAGTTCCATAAATCGTTACTCCCCTTTTTAACTAGCCGTCGCCCCAATTTTCACCACCTGCATGCCGATTTAGAATCAAATTTTTATCCAAAACCAATTACATTTTACACAATTATATTCACCTATGTATTTCCTCAATTCTCTGAGTTAGATGAAATGTTTTATGGATTTTTTTTCAATAGATTGAGGAAGTTATATGCAATCTTCAGAACTTATTATCTATGTAGGTAGAATAACAGGGTGATTGGTGCTACGTGCACAAAAATAAAACTAAATATATATAATGTCACACAGGCTGATAAGGTCATCAAAGGGAAAAGGCAAGCATAAAAACTTACAATAGCAAACACAGATTTGTAAAGCAAAACAAAGAAAAATGATCGATTACACTACGAAATATCGATTTACTCAAACTTGGGCCATGATAAATTGATCTGCTGTTGGTGTATCAAATGGATATATATGCAATGGACAACATTCAAGAAAACGATTTACTGTAATGAGACTAGAAGTTAATGTTTGAACCAAAGAAAAGAATTGAAAAACGTATTTTTGTTGCTGCTCTGAAAGCGGAATTCTGCTTTGTGAAAGTATTCGATTGGATAGAATTTGACAACATCTTTAGACTTCTGAGGCAGTCTGAATCTATAAGAGATCAATATATTGGCACCACTCTGAAATCCTGGAGGAATTCGAAGAGAACCCTTTTTTTATCAGTTGGTACTTATACATGTAGATGTCTCCATTAAAGAGAAATGGGTCAGGGTGAGGGGAGGGCACTGACGTGGGTATAGAGCATTCAGATTTCTTAAATACACACGGGAGAAAGGGATATAAAAACAGGTGAATATTATGATAGTTTTATCAAAATAAATATTTTGAAAGCTCCTTGAGTGAAACAGGAACGCTCATTTTAATTTCGTTTTAATCACTGATTGTGTTAAACTAAATTATGCTTGTCTGGGATGTGAATGCTACGAAACAGAGAGAACAATCCAGAGGCAATATCAGAGAATTTAATGAACTGGAATTAGATAATTTTTTTTCATTCTAATTAGCAGAAGTTCAGACTCGTACATCATTCCCTGCTATATGAAAATGGTCTGCTTCAACAGATTCTGATAAGAAATCAGAAAGTTAAATTGTGATTGAGTAATCTGAAAGAAGTCAATGTTTCAACAGTCAGATGTTGATGCAAAGAAAAGGAGCAACTTTAAAAATGAAAGGTTGAATTGTTAATAATAAAGTATAACACTCGCATTAAACTTAAGGATCAACTGTTACAGTCAAATTTACCTTTCTGATATGGAAGATTTTCACTGACAAGAATTTCAGTTGAGTTGATTTGAACCGAACAAGTACAGACAGCACCATGTTTCCATGCTTCTGCTGGGACTCTGATGTGACTTATTAAACTGTGTGCCATGGCAGAGTCCATTGTCACAGAATCTGTCCAAGCCTCAGCATCCCAAGTGGAAATATTCCAGTCGATGGGAAAGGAATCGGAAATCACGTTACTCACTAAACACATCAATGGGATAGTTTCCAAGGAAAACATTTCATCCAACAGCGGAGATAAAAGAATTACGTTGGGAGGCCCTGATGAGAATGGGAGGGAACATAAAATTATTATTCAACGGTGTTGATTATTGATAGTGAAATCTGTAAATCTGTCTTTCCTCTTACCTATTATGAGCACTAGTGATCCATTTCCGAATACTAAGGGGTTAAGGTACTCATTCCTACTGGCACAGTAATATAGACCAGAATCATTCCTTTGGACATTGCGAATCACAAGCGTATAATGAGTTGAATAGTCGTTCACTTCTCCAGAAAATCTTCCAACTGGAGGGAAATGCTTGCTTACGGTGTAAACGAGTTGCACACGTTCTCGTAGCTGCTGTTTATACCAGAAAACAGCATCGTACGCCAACCAACCCGTGTGACAATGCAACTTGACAGTGTTTCCAATGGAGACCGTCTGAAGTGCTGGCATCTGCAGGACTATTGTCTGAGGAACAGTAACTATGAAAACAGAGCATGTCACAAGCAGTTCTGCTTTAGCTTCGAAAATTTGCCTGCTTAGCACAGGGTTAATAGTGTAAATGTGGAAAGTACCATGCTTTTCTGTCATGACCATCAATCCAAATAACGAATTAGATAAATTAGTACAGGGAACAAACGAAAGAAAGAAAGAAAGAATCTATGCAAACAATGAAATTATTTGTAACTACGGTCACATATTACAATCTTGGGAGAAAATGAATTTTGCACAGAGGAAGATCTGGCAAATAGCAATTCCATAATGATCACCAATGCTGTTTTCATCACTTTGGTGGAAGAGTGAAGAGCTGTAAGTTGATTCCTCAGCTAGTTTCCCAATACAATCCACGAAATGTGCAAAAAATGTTTAATTTACAGACCTTTGATAATACAGTTCTTCACCACAAAAAAAAACTGATATTATAGAATACAACCACTTAAGATGTCTCTTGACTAAATTTCCCATTTGTCCTTCTCTAGAACTACGCCATAAATTAGATAAGTAGATCTAACCTGACAAAAGCTGGAACAGCGTACAGAGAGGTAAGACATTCATTGCCTGTGGGTGAAGTGTAACATTTAGAATGGCTTATCTTGTTTGTGGAGCAGTCGAGAGGCAATACAAAGTAAAACTCACAGCTGTAGAAATTATCTTCAGCATTTAAAAGTAACTGAATGGAAAGTACAGAATCATTTATATGGTCACTGTGGGTTTCCTGTTTACACGTTAAGCATCCCCATTTGCAAAGGTCATTTGCTCACCATGCAGTTTGCAAAAAAAAAGTATCTTTTCTGCCTGTAACATCACCATCAATTAGCATCCTGCTTGTTTCGTTCCCTTTTGGGTCTGCCCCTATTCCTCATCAAGTGTCTTTCATCGGGTGGCACCTTCTTTTTGGAAGCAACAGAGCATTGTAAATTCACCCTTCCATAAATTTAAGCACAAAAATCAAAGGCAGTAGCAGTGTCTGTGTTACAGTAATACTGTACAACTCAAGGTAGCTTTTCAGATGAGATGTTAAACCTAGACACCTTTTGTCCTTTCAAGAGATCAGAAATATTACCTGATCTGTCTTGGTCAAAAGGTCCATTTAAATTTCCCTGTCAGTCTTGAACAAAACATCTCTACTCGCATCATTACGAGTAAAAAGTCAATTTTTGGTGCATTATTTTTCTGCAAGACTGTTTTATAATAAATCATTGCCCTACGCACTGCATTAGGACCTAACAACATTTCAAATCTCACGACCTTGTCAGGAAGGTGGTTCGAGACGTCCTTCCTGTATTAATAGAGACCAGCCTTAACTTTCAACGGTATTTCTCTTCTTACTGTTGTTAAACATTCATACCAACATAACAGATATCTCAGATTGATTGATAATCTATAGTTAGATGCTCAAAATCGATTCCAGTTGAACTATTCTTGATAGTTGTGCATCTGATGCACCAGCAACTGCAAATGTGTATCCCTATGTGTAAGGCCTAAAATTAATTGGTGGGGAAGAAAGATTATCCACATCAATCTGTGTAATGTTATTAACAATATTCTAGCAATTATGTCTAATTATATATCAAACAAAGATATATTATACATAGATACGGAATGTATTTACAATTAATGTATATTTGGCTATTAACGAATTAGGATCTGATAAATAATACACAAGTGAATATATTTGCAATTAATTGTTTTATTTCAATTGATATCATCAATTGGGAGAATAAGTTTACAAGGCATTTTTTGAATTGATATGATAGATATATGATTGATATGACGTATTACAGCTGAGTGTTAAGAAGGACATAATATCTCATAACCTAAATGCCAAATCACAATTGATTGTGTGAGATAGTAGAAACTGCCGATGCTGGAGTCTGAGATAACAAGGTGTGGAGCTGGATGAACACAGCAGACCAGGCAGCATCAGAGGAGCAGGAAAGCTGATGTATCGGGTCTGAACCCTTCTTCAGAAATGGGGGAGGGGAAGGGGGCTCCGAAATAAATAGAGAAAGGGGAGGCAGTGATAGAAGGTGGATAGTGGAGCAGATAGGTGGAGAGAAGATGGATAGGTCAAGGAGATGGGAATGAAGCTAGTAGAGGTGAGTGTAGGTAGGAAGTGGGGTGGGGTGTTGGTCAGTGAGGTGGGAGGAGCGGATAGGTGGGAGAGAAGACGGACAGGTCAAGGGGGCAGGGATGAGAGGGGGGCTGGTCTTGGGATGAGGTCAGGGTTGGGGAGATTTTGAAGTTCGTAAAGTCCACATTGAGACCATTGGGTTGTAGGGTTCCAAGGCGGAATATGAGGTGCTGTTCCTCCAGTTTTTGGGTGGCATCGTTGTGATTCTGGAGGATGCCCAGGATGGACATGTTGTCAAGGGAGTGGGAGGGGGAGTTGAAGTGGTCCGGGACTGGGAGGTGTTGTCTTGTTGCTAACCAAGCGTAGGTGCTCCTCAAAGCAGTCTCCGAGCCTCCGCTTGGTCTCCCCGATGTAGAGGAGGCCACATCGGGAACAGCGGACACAATAGACCACATTAGCGGATGTGCAGATGAACATCTGTTTAATGTGGAAGGTTTTGTCGGGGCCTGGGATGGAGGTGAGAGGGCGTGGGCGGTTACAGAATTCCCTTTGTCCTCATGTATCACCCCATTAACCTCCAGATTCAATGTATCATTCTCTGCCACTTCCACCACCTGCAATCTGACCCCACTATGAAGGATATATTCCCCTCCCCACCCTTATCTGCCTTCCAGAGGGACCGCTCTCTCCATGACTCCCTTGTCCGCTCCACACTCCCCACTAGTACCACCACCCCAGGCACCTTTTCCTGCAACCGCAGGAGGTGTTACGCCTGCCCCTACACTTCCCTCATCACCTACATCCCAGGCCCCAAGAAAACCTTCCACATTAAGCAGATGTTCACCTGCACATCCGCTAATGTGGTCTATTGTGTCCGCTATTCCCAATGTGGCCTCCTCTACATCGGGGAGACCCAGCGGAGGCTCAGAGACCACTTTGTGGAGCACCTACGCTCAGTTTGTGACAAACGACAACACCTCCCAGTTGCGAACCACTTCAACTCCCCCTCCCACTCCCTGGACGACATGTCCATCCTAGGCCTCCTCCAGTGTCACAACGATGCCACCCGAAAACTGGAGGAACAGCACCTCATATTCCGCCATGGAACCCTACAACCCAATGGTCTTAATGTGGACTTTACGAGCTTCAAAATGTCCCCACCTCGAACTCATCCCAAGACCAGGCCCCCTCTCATCCCCGCCCCCTTGACCTGTCCGTCTTCTCTCCCACCTATCCGCTCCTCCCACCTCACTGACCAACCCCCCACCCCACTTCCTACCTACACTCACCTCTACTAGCTTCATTCCCCCCTCCTTGACCTGTCCATCTTCTCTCCACCTATCTGCTCCATTATCCACCTTCTATCACCGCCTCCCCCCTCTCTATTTATTTCAGAGCCCTCTTCCCCTTCCCCATTTCTGAAGAAGGGTCTAGACCCGAAACATCAGCTTTCCTGCTCCTCTGATGCTGCCTGGCCTGCTGTGTTCATCCAGCTCCAAACCTTGTTACAATTCATTGTGTGTTGGAATATAATTATTATGTGAAGAAAATGTCACTTATTTTATATCTCATGTTGAAAATGTCAAAAAAAGGCTTCACTTAAGCTCAGCAAATAAAGCTCGGAGGAAAGGCATACAGATATTGTTGAACAATGCATGAAGAAATGGTAAGCACAGACAAACCCCACAAACATACACTTCATTGGTCAATTCAATATTAACAATAACTGGACATGATGCACATTTCTTTGTTCATGAGCACTTGGGTATTGACCTCATTGATGTGACAAATTCAAAATTAACCAGATAATTGGGTACATAGTTCAAGAATTCTTCAGTGAATGCTCAAGTGGATCATCCAAAGCAATAAAAGGGAAAGTTAGATTGAATGTATAATCTCACAGTACATTCTTAGGTTGAGCCGAAACAAATGCTCAGGGAAATTGTGTAACAGCTATCCTGCTATTAATGTTAAAAATGAGTTACTTTAATAAACTCATAATAATACAATATGTTAACAATCCTGCACTCCTTGCTAATGATCTGAAGGCTCATGTTTCATACACCACTGTGAGAACTGCTGGAAATGAAAACATAATGTACACTGTTACTACCAAAAATAAACTTAAAGGCAAAAACAGAGCAGCAGGGCTTATGAGAAGTTATAAATTTCTTGATAACAGTCCATACAAACAGGGCCTCAGGTTATTGAAAGGTGACAAGCATGGAGGAGGTTGTTCACATTCTGAAATGATTATTCTAAATGTAGAGCCTGAAAGTTTGTAAAGTACCTAGCTGCAAGATAATAGGCTATTTCTTCAGGTCACTTTCATCCTATCTGGAGAACTGCAACAAGCCTAAGACTGAAATGTTGGCTTGGGAATATGGTGGTGTATTGAAATAGTTGGCAACTGAAAGCTCGGGGTCATTTTTACAGAGAGCAAAGGTGTTCGCAAAACAATCACCCAATCTGTTTTTCTTCTACCCAGTGTAGAGGAGAAGGTATTGTGAGCAATGAATGCTGATTGATTGAGGTGGAGATAAATCACTGCTTCACTTGGAAAGTGTGCCTGGGGTCTTGAATCGTGTGAAAGGAGGAGGTAAATGCACAAGTGTTGCACTATTTGCAAATGAATGTGAAAATGCTGTGGTGATGGTTTACGATTGGAGCAGGGTGTCCCAGAGAAAACGTTCCCTGTGAATACTGTTAAGTGACAAAAAGGGGAAAAGAATCTGATGGTGGCTTCCTGCTGCAGGTGGCAGCTAATGATCCTTTGGATGTGGAAGCTGCTAGGGCAGAAACAAAGGACTGGGGGACCCTGTCTTTGTGAGGTGTGTGAATGGGGTAAGGGCAGAAGTACAGGAAATAGGTTTAATATGGCTTGGGGCACTCTCAGCCATGGTGACAAGGAATCCTCTGTTGAGGAAAATGATGAACATTTCTGAGACTCCCTTTCAGAAGGTAGCATCAACAGAACAGATGTGACGTACATGGAGAAACTGGGACAATGTGACGCTTGTCCTTACAGGAAGCAGTGTATGAGGATATATAGTCATGGTCTCTCTGGGATTCAGTTGGTTTGTTACAGATATCAGTGGCTGCATTATCCCCACAATTGGAAACAAAAACGGGAAGTGAGGAGTCAGAGATGGAATAGGTGAAGCTGCGAGAAGGATAGAAATTGGAAGCAAAATTTATAATGTTTTTCCAATTCTGGGTCAGAGAGTGATGCAGTGGTGATAATGTCATCGATGTGCTGCAGGAAGAGTTACTGGGAGTATCCTGAGTAGGACTGAGGTCACGGAGATTTCCAGATAACGCACAAAGAGACACTGATGTGGTCATGCAGATAATCCTTTCCACACCTTTGTGCTGAATAAATGAGAGGAATTAAAGGTGAAGTCATTCAAATGAGCTCAGCCACTTGGAGAAGCACTGTGATGGATGGGGCTAGTTCTCTCCATGAAGAATCAGAGAGCCC